TAAATAAAACACATTCCATTCCAATTCAATTCTATCATTAATATGCATTAAAATCTTAACATTTCTTTTCAGTTGAATAACATACTTCCTTGGGAACACTTATAAACTTTCCATAGTTAATTCTTTTCCCCCCCATATTTCTCACTTATATTTTTATAAATCATTACTAATAATTAAAAATGTTCCTTTTTAATTCTCTCAATCATTTTAATTCATTTATTTATTAACAAACATTCCACTGCATTACAATAAATATTTTATCCATCATCATATTTTCTAAAGTTATTTCTATTTGTAATATAACAAAGCTATCTTATGTACCTTTGCAGAATCCCTTCTACAATTAAATTTTCACCCATTATCTCTAAACAAACTTATGGTTACAATCCTTATATCTTTTCCCTGTTTCTCCATTTCTTGTTTCTGTCTTTTACAACTTCTTTTCCTTGCCTTCTTCCTCCTCTTCTTCTCCCTCCCCTTTTTACCCCCTCGTCTCTCTACTTCTAACTCTCTCATCTGTAATCCCCTCTTCTGTTGCTTTCTAATATTATGCTTATCTTTCAAATTGTTCTTCTTCTTTTTGGTTGGTTTTTTCTAATCTTAAACCTTTCACTTTCGTTCTCCCCTTTTCTCCCCCCGCCCACTTAAAATTATTTGATCATTAAAGATGGCTTCTTCTTTGTCCCAATCTTCTTGTTCTGCAAGCGTTTCTTGTTGCTTCTCATAGTTCCAGATCTCCATTTCTAAGAATTGAAACACGAAGCCAAAATAACTTCTCCCTTCTTGTGCATCTTTTTTCCATTTTTTAAGTTCCGTTTTCAGTTCTTCTAAGAGTGATACCATTTTAAAAACTTTTAAACAACCACCCAGTTAATTTTAGTCATCTAGATGCAAAAACCCAAAATCACCAAGTAATCCAAATAATCCAATAATCCAAATAAAGGCTGTTTCTGCTTGCTTCTTTTTTCCACTTTTTCTTCCTGGGGTTCTATTATTTTGTTACCAAGTTTCCATTAAAATGTATCTTTGAGGAATCTTGTTAAAATTTCACTGTAAGTTCCTTTTAATTACAGTTCCATTCCTTAATTCCAGGCAGTCTCCTCCATTTTTCCAGATCCTGTCCTTCTATTCTTTTTTTTTCTCCTTTCCAGCTTTTAAAAAACGTTTAAATGTCCAGAAATCTTTATTTATCCCTTTGACTTTTATTTTCAGCTTAGATGCCTATTAATGTCAAAGTGGGGTTTTTTTTCAGTTTCTTGCTTAAGTCTCTTAGCTGTCAGTATAAGGAAGGGAAGAAAAAAAACACTAATCCTTTCCCTTCTCTTTCTCCTTCGCAGCTTCAAAATCTTCTTTGGGAACAATGTTGTTAAGTTTAAATTCCATATTCGTTGTTTTTGCTGTTTGACCTGGTCAACCAAAACTTTCTCTTCTTATCTTCCTCCTTCATATTTTATGAAGGAGCTGATTTTCTTCCAGCTGAAAAAATATAAGACTTTTTTCAAGAATGTATATATATATATGCTTAATCTCACAAAATAAATTAAGAAAATGATGGATTTTCAAATCAAACCAATAGGCTAACAAACAGGGAAAAAAATTCTTTCTATTGGAATAGAAAGATATGTTTATGTAGATAGTTTAAGGTACTTTTTATACATATTCATACACTATATCTATCTTTAGATATCTTTAGATAGGTAGATAGGGATAGATAGGCAAAGCAAATTTAATAAAAGTGAAATATCTAGAAAAGTAAAAGAGAAGTAGAGGAGGAGGAGGAGGAAGATTTTCAAGTCAAGTCTATGGGTTCACAAATAGTGGGAACAGAAAAGGAAACAGACGCTGCTATTAGCAGAGAAATAACTTTAAAGAGACTGTAATAGGAATGAGCTTTATTTATTTATTTCAGTACAGTGATATGTATATGATCTATATATAATTAAAGATTATCAACATTCTATTACTCAGCTTGAAGTATTGAAAATAAAAAAATTGAAAGAAAAACTATAAATATTAATTTCAGTTTAGAATGTAAATATTATAAGCATAAATTTATTTGGCTTTTTAACAGTTAAACTGAATAACGAGTTGGAAGGGACCTTGTAAATCTTCTAATTCATCCCCCTGCTCAAGCAGGAAATCCTATAACATTTTAGACAAATAATTGTCCAATCTCTTTTTAAAAACCTCCGTTGCTGGACCACCCACAATTTCCGAAGTCAAGTTGTCCCACAGAATAATTGTTCTAGTTGTCAAGAAATTTCTCCTTAATTCTAGGTTGGTTCTCTCCTTGATTAGTTTCCATCCATTACTTCTTATCCTAACTTCAGGTGATTTGGAGAATAAATTAATCCCCTCTTCTTTGTGGCATCCCTTTCGATATTGAAACACTACTATTGTGTCACCCCTAGTGCTTCTTTTCATTAAACTAGTCATTCCAATTCCAGCAACAATTCTTCATACATTTTAGCTCTCAGCTCCCTACTTGTTGTTCTTCTCTGCACTTTTTCAACATTGTTTTTACATTGTAGCAACCAAGACTAAGTGCAATAGTGTGGTCTTACAAAATGGTACTAACACTTCATGGGATCTTGGTTCAATTCCTCTGTTAATGAAAGGAAGGAATATTTCTGATGTTCCCTGCCAAGTTCCCACAAGGAAATTCAATACTGAAGCTGGCTAATAGTCAGATGTTGCTTCCGCTTCAATTGCTTTTTTGCCCATTTGTTTCTCTGCTTAGGTAAGAAATATTTCTGAAATGATGATTAAACAGGAGTGAAGTAGTAGACAATAAAATCAATCTAAGAGATTCAAATAATAATAAATCTATAATCTTAGGACATGAGGTTGTTGCATATAATTTTCTCTACTGATAATCCTGAAAGTGAAGCATAGCATAATTTGAATGGCTCAAATGATATTAAGATAAGAAGTAAAATCTTCTCTTTTCATAATTTAAAATTACATGCTGTAAAGTGTATCATGCAGATTTCAATAACATTAAAAAAAGGATCTTTTCTCATTCAAAGATGCGTGCCTACAGCAATAGAATGAATATTTTTTGTTATACATTTCAGATTCATAGTTATTATATTTGCTATAATATTTAATAAATTGCTTTATAATGGCAAAAATTAAATTAGAAGATATTTAGCATGATTGGTGCTATATTTAGGTATTTCTCCTTTTTATTATAAGCAATAAGTCATTAAATTGGTGTGGAGAGGAAAGATTGGAAGAAACGAGATACATGACAAAAAGTTCTTGGGAAGTGTGACACTGGTGTACATACTAGCACTGGTATTTGTATCTTTGGTCTTGAAAGAGTTACAGTAAGTGTAATGTGGTGAGCAAAGATGGTTGCATAATCACAGTCAGTAACAATAATATTCTATTATTAGAAAGCTAATAGGGATTTTTCTGAGAATGTTGATTTTAGCAACTCCTCCTAAGTGAATTCCTAAAGTGCTTTATTTAGATTTTAGAAACAAATCCATATATATGATTTATAGTTAAACCTTTTGAACAGTTATATTATTATGCATGCCATAGGCCAAATCCAAGCATCTAGTGAATTGTTCATGTTATTATACTCTTTATGAGCATTTCTGTTGGTTTTCCATGCAAAAAGCATATAAACAAGTTTAAGTTACTATATACAGTAAAATATTATTTTAAGCAATCATATGCATGTTGAAATTAGTGGAGATTAAAGAGCAATTTTATATGTCATACTTTAGAATACTCGTATAGGTTTGTCCCTTAATCTCAGCCAACTCAACTAATTTCAGTACAGCAAGTCCTACTGGCTTCAACGAGTATATAAACACAATAAATGAAATTTGAATGTAAATCCTAATAAAATCACCAGGACTAAACTGTGCCCATCTAGATTAGATATGGGAGCTATATAAACAACTTTTCTAGTTTATTTTTTCCATATCAAAAGCAACCAGATTGGTCTCTCTTCCTGCCTCTTCCTCTCCCTCTGCCCCTCCTTCCTTCTCTCTTACTCCCTCCCTCCCTCTCTCTTACTCCCTCCCTCTCTCTTTGACAGGTGTGTATGAAGGAGCCATATTCAATTCCTTTCTACCCTCCACTCCATGTACTTTTCTCACATAGAAAAATATGGTAAAACCATATTTTGCATCAGTGAAATAAGACTGATTATTCATATGTATATATAATCACACGTATGCCATGATGTCTGAGGCATATGATTCATATATAATGAATCACACATCATAATCCGAGTTGTATAGTTCCTGTTTCAGTTTTATTGAAAAAAAAAATACAGGCATTTTTCATTTAGTGCCTAGCTTGGACAATGGCCATTTGCAATATGTTGGTGATAAAAAAAGTAAAATTGCCTTGAGAAATAGATTGCTTTTTTCTCTTCCCTCCACCCCCAGAGTAGAGAAATTGCAGAGGGATTTCAACAGAGCGAGCTGTTTGCTTTTCTACACAGTGATTGCACTGGCAGTGCGAAAGACACAGGAGAGATTGCTTCCATTTTTTCCTCCCCCTCTCCCCCCCCCCCCCCCCCCCCGAGAAGAGATTGGAGAGGAAGATATTCCAAGAGAGTACTATAAGCTGTTTGTATAACACCCTTGCAATTCCCAATCCAATTACATCATATTGATTGTGATGGTGATCATGTGACTGAGGGATGCTGAAAAGGTGTATAATTGATGACTCTTATCTCCTTCCAGACAGAAAGTACAGTTACAGTGTGACTTCCCACTTAGTGATTATTTTGCTTAGCAGTTCCTATTAGGGTCATTACTCAAGGATACTAATAAAAAGCTACTGCATCTTTTTATGGTCATTTATTGAGGACCACCTGTAAAAAACTACTGCAACTTATATTTTAGGAGCAGAATCTTTGATATTAAAACTTGTTGAACTTAGGTGTACATTAAATTAGAAGGAAAGAAAAAAATAGTTTTCAGCAGTGTTTTGAGAATGTATTTCTTATTTTCATATTATTTCCTTTTCAGGTATTACAACAACTTTATTCTCTGTACAGAACACAAAGTTTCAACAGCAAAGTGCTTTTGGCCTAACCCACTGGCTGAAGGTTTCATCACTGGAATCCATAGACAATTCTTTACAAACTGTACCTCAGATAAAGTGCATTGGGAAGATCCTCCTGATAAAATTCTGGTTCCTTTGATTTTCATTCCAATTCTTCTGACAGTTGCCATGGTTGGTTTAGTGGTATGGTGTAGCAAAAGAAGTGATATTTTGGTATAACTCAGCATTCATCACCATGTTTTTCTTTTTTTTAATTGAGAATGGAATAGAAATATTATTTGTACTGTATATCTACATGTACTTGTGTGTATGTGTAGGTATACACAGACAGACACATACATATAAAGACAATTTTGGCAAGCAGAACCTACATTCTTCTGTAGCTACACATATCTAGTATAAACATTACTTCTCCAGCAGTATAGACATTGTTCTGAACAAAAGTGTGGCTCATGACCATAACTCTGTAATGAATAGAAACTGAAAACAATATCTGAATCTGCTATATACAATGGAAGTTTGTGGCTTTTAAATTCAAGAATGAATCTCAGCTGTTCAATAATTTTTTTAAAGATGATACTATATGTGAACTGTAGATTTGAAATGTATGCACATGTATTCTGAACAATCATATTTATGGTAGGGGTTGTTTTGGAATTAAATGTGAAAATTAAGAATATTTAAGTGTGAACTTTGGGATTTAAATAGACTGTCCTTGCCAAAGATATATAGCATGCATATACATGTGCAGCAAAGTGAAACACTGTGAATAATGAATGATCAAAGAATTGTCACGATTATTCTGGCTCTTCTACAAATTAGTAAAGAAACATGTCCTTGAATGTTCACATCCTGGACTGGAAATCTGCAGATTGGTCTCTTGAAAGGATATAGTTTTCTTTTGCAAAGCTGCAAAGAGAATGAGAGGAAATTGGTCAACCAGAAATCTATTCAAGTGTTAAAGGAACTGTTACATTCGTCTCTGTGTTTTTAAACTGGTAATTTTAAGACAATTTTCCTTCCTTTTTCCATAGCCTTTTTAAATTTCTGATATGCTTTAAATGGTCAGATTTCATAGGAAGAAAATATGGCAATCATTTTAATACTAACCCATTTCAGATTTTGCATATTGAAATATAATTTATATGTTAGATGTTTTGAATTTCCACCCAGATATAGAAGAATTTCCACCCACATATAGAATAAATTAGTTTAGCAAATATCTTAGACGTTTTCAGGAGCTATACCTCCAGTAAAATGCACAAGATAAACAACTTAAATTCTTATAGAAAACCTCAGATTTTCTAATCCGAAGTCTTCTGTAACATCAAAATTATATTATATAATAGTGCAAACATCTTCAATTAGAAATATTTTGTCTTTATACCTGCATAATTAAATAACACTAGACAGTTTATCAATGATCTGATATTCATCAACATATCTACCATTTTGGGGACCTCTTTTGGATGTTATTAGTATGCCACCTGATTCTTATCTTGGTCATCTATTACCTGCTATATTTAAAAAATGAGATAAGATAGAGATCACCAAGTGTTCCCGTGTAATCTATCTTCAATGGGGTTTGTATATGCTTTTAAAATATGCCTTCAGAAATTTTCTATCAATTAGGGAACTTCTTGAATTAAAAAAAAGAAATTGAGGCAGGGAACCTAATCAAACTATTCATGTTATCTAAAAGATCTAAGAAACTAGAACCACACTGTAATTTATTACTTATAAGTACAGTGTTGAATCAAACACTATGGTTTTATGGATGGCATAAAAACAGGATGTAAAGGATATAAATTTACCAGGTGTGATACTATTATATATAATGTATATCTTATTAAAATCGCATTATTTTGTTAAAATGTTGAAAATCTGAACAAATTTATACTTGTAAACATTGTATTGTTATAATGCAACTTTACATTTAAAAAAATCAAATTGAATTTATTGTTAAAATTAATATTTCTTAAAATGAAAATTTCATTTAAATTTTAGCTGTTACTAAAGGAAGAAACAGACAAGGACTATGACGTTTTTGAAAATGTATATGATAGATCAATGAATCTAAGGCTAACAATGGCCATTCAGAGATGATATATCTGGCCAGAAGATAAATGTAGGAGTCCATATCTACCCCATAGAAATTTGCTTATTATGACAGAACCAAAATCAGCTTGGCTTTTGATCTGCTTCTGTGGAGTTTTTAAATTCTTAATGCAGGTATAAATTGCATCATGTTTTTAATTATGTTGCATTGTTTTGTTCTCTAACTTCTGTAATTAGCAAAAAATTACTCATTGAGTGGTAATATTGTAAGGATGGAAATAGGAAGTTTAAGTGCTTTATAGTTTCTCTTCCCATGCTTATTTCTGATTCTTAGAAGTGAACATTCAGATTTGGGAAATCCAATCAGTTACATAGGGAAGAAACCCTGCTTATTTACATTTTTTATCTTTCTTCTGAAGTTTTCAAGTCATTCTAAATCCATGCAGAATTAAACATGAAGAAAGCAGTTTTGATATAATTTCATAGCTTTATAAGTTTGTTTTGGACAAATCCATCTTATGTGAGATAAGCGATGAAATAATAAATGTTAATAGGCTATTTATGATTATATAATCTTACTTTCTTAGTTCAAATCATACAAAACAACAAGATGATGTTTGGACTGCTAAATCAGCTTTCAGTAATATTAAAATTATATTACAATTATGATACAAGATAGTAAAACCTCCTTCCCCAACAAACATTTTCATTTGTTTCATGATTCTTACTTTCCTCAATGGACATGAAGATTTAGGCCGCATAATAAATATTTCCACCTAGTTGTGGAAATAATTTTTGTTCTTGAGTTAACAAGCTGTTTAAGATATGTTCCACTGGATCATCCAAGAGTTATAATCATCCAAGAGTTCTGTTTGCTCCTCTGAATAAAGCAGAGCTCCAAGTTCACATGTCTTACTCAACGAGCAACATGGGCTTTTTGATAATCTAGCCTATAATATTTGGCATTTACTGTAATAAAATAAAGTGATATGACATATACAGTATATCCTTTCAGAAAGAATTACTCAATCCCTGTGATAGATAATGCCTTTTTCTGATTAATCTGTGACAGCATATTTTAAGAGTTAAAATTCTTGAGAGATCTTATATAGAACCTCAACCAGTGGTGGGTTGTAAAGTAGGTTCAGTGGACGTGCCACCGGTTCAGTGGACATGGTTTGGTGGGCACTCTTTGCACACACACGCACACTTTGCGTACATGTGTGTGCCAAACACACATTTTGCGCACGTGCAAAGGTTTTCCTACTCATCTGCAATCTTGCACTCCCCGTAGCTTCAGCAGTTGACGCGGCAATTTGTGCCGTGCAAAGCAACTGCACTTCAAAAGCAGGGAATAAAGGTCAGTATGAGAGCCCGGGCGGGCAAGTGGGCCAATAGCAAGTCCTCAGAGAGAACTGGTTTGGTCTCTGCTGATCTTCAGCACCAGAACCAGGCCGAACCGGTAGAATAGCACCACCGCCCTCAACTCTACATAACACTATATCTGTAGCTTTGCAGATGTATCTACTCCCAATGCAATTCTTATGAAACCAATTGTGTCACAACAATATATGATGAAGAAATTGTTTTTACTCTTTTAGATGCATCCAGAATAAAATCTAGCTTCACTGAATTCTATAGAACTTAAATAAATTACATCTAACAACTCTTTTTGATTTGAGTGTGTTAACTCTCAATACCCAAATTATATATAAAAACAATTCAGAAGTATCCCTCAATCTTTTTTCACATAATTTATTTTGTTTCTCTTTGTCATTTTGCTCAACCCTTATAGTACTCATTTCAAAGTTTCCCTATATGCAGTGGTGGGATCCAACTAATTTAACAACTGGTTCATCCTAAAGATCAGTTGGGTGTGGCTGGAGGGGTGTCATGTGACTGAGTGGGTGTCACCAACTTGATGTTATGGGTGGCACAGGTGGGCCAAAGTGGCGGTGGCTGGACCCGTAGACCTTCCTTGAGGCAGCAACAGCAATGGTGATTCTGCAACACCTCATCTCTTGCTGAGTCTTGCTGCCCAACAGTCAGGGTTATTAAAAAGGTTTTTGCAACAGGAAATGAGCGGTTACTTCTGGCCTTTGTTGGTACAGCTGGGCACATGACCCCTCTCTGAGTCACTGGCCAGCAGCCGCCATCACTCTTTCAATGTAAGCCTGCAGCTGCTGGTCTTTTTCAGCATGAGAAACCTGCAGCCACCACTTTTGCTGGCATGAAGGGCCTGTGGCAGCCATCTCTTTGCTGGCCAGAACCGATCTGGGAGTGGCAGCTTCAAGCTTCTCGCACTGGCAAAGATTGATGACTGTAGGCTTCTCGCACCAGCAAAGAGTGGCAGCTCTGCAAATATTGGTGTCTGGAGGATTCTCATGCCAGCAAAGAGATGGCAGCTGCAGGCTTCTTGGTGGGTGGACATGGTGAGGTTCAGCCACTTTTCAGGCCCTCCTCTGGTCTGTTGCCTGCTAGACCTCCACTGCTTCAAGTCCTGCATCCAGACCACGACAAGGGCACATGCCACTTCCAGTCCAGCCCGGTCAGTGGATGGACAAGCGGTTGGCCCTCATGGGAGGCATTTTCTTTCAGGCCTTGCACCCGGAAGGCCCTGCGAAAACTGAACCTGGGCCTAAAGGTGACCGAGCCTCACCATCTGAATTCTCGCCCCCTGCTGAAGCAGTCCTTCGGCTTAGCGCAGCAAGCCTGGAGTGGATCTTCCCCACCATCAGCCTTATCTTCTAGCTCATGGGGCTGTCACCATTCTCACAGTGGTGACCTGGCATGTGGGGGGGAGGGGGGCAGAGAAGGCCAGAGCCAGGAACTGGCATGTCCCTCGACCAGAACCAAAGAACAAGAGTGCAGCATGCAGGCGAAAGTGTGGTGAGAGCCAGGCCCGAAAGGCAGCCTGTCCTCCCGAAGGCAGCCCTTCTGTCAATGCTATTGGTTAGTTCTGTTTGGAAGTGTTGCTTTCCATAATAAAAAAGAGCTTTGGGTGATTTGATGGAAAGCTAAAAGAAATTTTCAGGAATACAACATAGCAGCAACATTTTAAATGAAAGGTTTTTGAGATGCCCAAAGAAGATACATTCTGAAGACAAAGGCACACTGAGTTATACTGTACATTGAAACATGCATGTAATGACTACTGTGGGAATCACTATAATGATTTCATAAAACAGCTGCTTTGCAAAGACTGCATTACTTATATAAAATAATAATATATAATAATGTATAAAATAACTATAACTATGCATTACTGCTTTGGAAATAAATGTTTCATATAATTTTTTTAATAAATAGTCTGGAAAACCATGTTTTCTAGAATCCATATTAAAATGACTTGCACAATACTGGCTTTCTCAAACATTCTAATGGTGTCACAGATTACTTTACAAACTAATCAATATTAATCCTGATTATCAATACAGGAGTTTCTTATGAATTTTTTTAAAAAATAATTAAGACTGTTGGTGCATACCAACTGGAATCATTTCTACAGTTGAATGAAAAAAATAACCTGTTTTCAAATGCATATGCACATATTCCTAATAACGATAAAATGCTTTCAGCATAAAGCCTAAACAGAAATTATCGTTCAAGGACCATTGAAAAACCTGATTGGCAACATAAAAGGCCTGACTTTACTCAGCCTTATAGAAGCAGGATAGTGGAAGCTAAGTGTGCTCTCTGACACTAGGATGATGGATAGGCACCCATTTGCGTACAGCTGTTGACGTCAATGAGAGAAACAGAAAGTGCATCAGCAGAGAAATCCTGTTTTCAGCTACAGGATGAAATTATGTTAGACCATTAAATCTTTAAACAAGATTATTGTTTTGCATATCCTTTTCAGACACTAGGAAACTATGCAATCATATGGGATTTTGAATAACTGTAATGTCTTTATGCCTAGCCAATAGACATTACGTTTTTTTAGTAGGAATTCAGATTTGATAATCTTGCAAGGTAAATAATAATTTATATTCTTGCATTTACAAACCAAGTTATAACCAAAGGACATTTAGGTTGTGGAAATTATCTGTTACTTTTAATGATAATGATAATAAGAACAAAAAGTGCAGAAAAGAAAAAGAAAGCACAAATGTTTTACTTTTAACAATCCTGATCTTTAATCCTTTAGGTAATATCCTAGAATTTGATTTCTTGTCAATGTTTTCTTTGTGTCTTTTCCCAAAATTCTTCAAAGCTTAGACAAGCATGTTTTGCAAACCCAATATAGGAATATTATTCAGGTTACTTTCCTGGTTTGTTATTGTATATCCCTTATCAAGATAAATAATTTTTTTATATGCCCCATATGGTATCTTTTTCCATATTGTAACATGCCATTTTAAAATACACTTTCAGATAAGTCTCAATCTTGTCATGAAAAAAATATCATTTTATAATATCTTTCAACTGTACCATCTATCTAATTTATGGGTTTGTTGTTCAAAAATATCATTCAATATATCCACTGTTATGATATTTTGCTTCATTCTGTATTAGTAAGTCAGATTTAAGTGTTCTTTAATAGAAATCTTTAGTTCCTTTGGTTTCCTGCAGTGTTCCACTCTCAAAGTCTTATCCAACCATGTTTTTAAGATACTTTAAAACAAAAGCATGCCAATGGAAACCATTCTTACATAATTCCAAAATATTTCAAATCAGCTAGATCCTTAACCCATTTGTAACTTTCCAAAGACAAAGTTGTAATCACCCTTTTGTTGTTTATTCTAAAAGAAATTTGTTGAAATCCTTAATATATACTTTGCTAAGGATTGAAGGAAACTCACCTTGTGCTTTATAACGTTGATTCAAAGGTTTCCAATAGCTGAAAAGCAATTACATAACCAATTTCCAAAAGTTATAGGAAAAGTATATACACAAACCCAGCATCCTTTTGAGGGCACTGACTTTCCTCATCTAAACCTCTAAACCCACTGCTGTCTAATGAGCTCACATGGGGAACAACTCTGGGTGATCTCAAGTGCTCTCATTGTCAGAAAAAAATTATGAAGAGGCAGTCTATTGATTGGTTCTTTATTCTGTTATGGTAATGGATCTTCAATTTGCCATTTCTGCCAACAGAAATCTGAAGTCCAAAGCTGGATATTCTGGATATTAACAATAAAATAAAGAAAGAAGTAGTGATAAGTAGGAGATAGATAATTGTCAAACAAATCAGAGGAGTTGTATAATAGAGATGGGCAAAGTTTTTTTAAAGTAGTTCTTGGCAAAAGACCCACTGTTTTCAATTGCAGGTTAAAGTGAGAAACAATACAGAAGAAAAGGAAAGAACCTATTCTCACTACTAATGGTAAATCCTACATACCATAAATTATTGTAAAATTCCTCTTTGGAATTCCCTTCTATTTAAGAGGGAAGAATTTGAGGCCATTGATACACTTTAATAGAAAGAGGCAGCGTTAACTCATTTCATGATTGGTTTGTATTCCATTCTTTTTTTTTTTTTTCCAGAGTGGGAATTCCCTTCCTCAGTTTCTTCTCCAGCTTCCCTGAAATACTATTTCAGAAGGCAGGGGGGCTACTGTGAACAGTGGGACTTGTCACAGATTATAGATAGAAA